GACGGGGACGGCACCGGCGCTGCCCCGGGCACCGCCGCTCCGAGCTCGGAGGGCGCCCGCGCTGGGGAGGGGGCGGCGGTGGAGCCTCGCGGTGCGGCGGGCGTGCAGCCGGGCACGGCCAGCGGCGTGTGGCGGTGTCGCCGCACCGGGCGGGCGGCGGGACAGGCAGCGCTGGCCAAGCAGGGTCCCTTTAGCCCTCTCGGGGATGGGGCAGGGTCACTGCAGCTCCCGCAGCGACGGGACAGCGTCCCCTCGGAGGGGTGGGGCAGGGTGGTGCTGCGCCAGGGCTGAGACCTCTCTGTCCCGCGTCTTTGCCGGTGCGTGGGTGCCAAGGGTGCTGCTCCCGAGCTGCTGCCAGAGGTGGAGCAGCCCTTCCCTGATTCTGCTTTCACTCAACCCTTTGAAATGTGCTCTGCAGCCCAATTTAAGTGACACGAACATGTTAATTGCTGTAAATGGAACAGCTGAGCAGAAATATGCTCTACTGACCTCTAATTAAGCGCTATACATTTGGCACTTGAGTCAGAATATGGTTATTATTTATTGTCTTGGCAAAACACAATCTGCTGGTTTCAGCCATTTCTTCCTCGTTCCCATTTTCACTAAGTGTGGTGGGTGAGACATGAGCCAGTCAGAGCTGCTCTCAGCTCAAAGCTGTGTTCTAGACAGAGTGTTATTAGTCCTTCATGAATATGTATTCATTCCTCAAACTTTTGAGTCTGTTTAAATTATAAAACTTCTTTGCTGGGAAAGCTTAATTGGGAAATCAGCTGCATATTGTACCCCTGTGGGAATATGCAAGTGGCTGCAGATGGAGTCACTGGCCTGGCTTCACTTTTGGGGCAACTTAAGCTACAATGTCAAAGCAACAGCTTCAGTTTTGTAAATGCAATATCTTTCCTTCTTGTATGTTAGGGTTTTTCAGCCTTCTGTTTTTATCCACTAACAACTGCTTATTCAGTATTTTAAGAATCTTTTAAATTTTAATACAAAATGAATGTGAAGAGAAAGGAAAGCAAAAAAGGACACAAGAAGTGTAACACCTGTGAAATCCATGCTGTACAGCCAGCCCGGTTTGCAGAGCTGTTCTGTGGTGCCCTCTAGGATTTGAGAGCCCTGGAAAAACGAATCCTGACTCTTCATACTCCCAGGAAAGCAAACACCCAACCCACGAGCCAGACACATGGCAAATGCAGTGCAATGATATCAAGCCTACCACGCCAGCTTAGGGAAAAGCCATCTTGCTGCTCAGAGAATCAGCTGTATGACCCAAAGCAGAATTTATTTTAATGAAGGACTTGGATTATTGTGTAAAAAAGTAATAAAATATGCAAACCGATGCTATTAGTAGAGGGGAAACCTTTTAGTTTCTCTATCCCTTTGTAAGAGCCGTTTCACTAGTGAAGTCTCAGTGCCACGGCTCACTGCAGCTTCTCGTGGCAGCTTCCTTGAGTTCCCTGTCTTGAGCAAATTTTGAGTCATGCTGATAGCATCAGTAAATACACACTATGAGCTCCAGCCTGCTTCCCTCGTTACCTGAGCAGCGCTGCAGATCCAGACTGGAAAGACAAAAGGTTGGAGCAGCAATTCTGGGAGCACACAGCTGCTAAGGAAGGAGGCATTCCTGGGCTTTGTGCTGGTGCTGGAGCGCGCTGAGGGGAGCGGGCCCTGGGCAGCTGCCGTGCTGGCAGCGCAGCAGGAGCGGGAGTGGCAGGAGGCTGCTCTGCCCCGAGGATGGGGATCTGTTTGGAGGATGGTGACCTGCCCAGAGGATGGGGATCTGTTTGGAGGATGGTGCTCTGCCCAGAGGATGGTGACCTGCCCAGAGGATGGTGACCTGCCCAGAGGATGGTGCTCTGCCCAGAGGATGGGGATCTGTTTGGAGGATGGTGCTCTGCCCCGAGGATGGTGCTGTGCCCAGAGGATGATGATCTGCCCAGAGGATGGTGACCTGCCCAGAGGATGTTCTGTGTGTGCTGCGCTCACCCAGGCACCTGCAGATCACGCTGACCTCAGGGGGAACGCTGACACGATAGGGAGATGCCCCTGGGGAATCCGTGGCTGCATGGAGAGGTGACAGCTGGACTGGCAGGACATTCCAGAGGTACCAGGGTGTGTGCTGAAGGAACAACACAAAAGTGCAAACACCTGAAGGCAGAAGGGCTCTGTACTGGATCCATCCTTCCCATTCTTCACCTGCAGTACTCTTGATCTGTTACTACACACTCCAAGCTCAGATTTATAATCTGGTCTGAGACCACAATTTACTTAGTCTTCCCTGCCAGGGCAGGATTTTCCAAGATACCTGACTCATCCCTGTAACCTTGTTCTGAGTGTCATCTCACTTTTCAATGGCTCTTGGGAAGGGTGGGCTGCTGAACAGACCCTGGTTGTGGTGGTGGCTGACATGGATTACAGGCACAAGCTGCCTCCTGCCCCGGCAGGGTTGATGGCAAATCTCTGTACCTGAGCAGCCTGTGCTGCCCAGGCAGCTGATCCCTGCCCTCCCGGGCAGGCTGCAGCTCAGCATGGCCCTTCTGAGCCTGCTGGCACTGCCAGTGGAGATCTCACATCCTGGCTACAGCAGCTTGCACATTCTGGCTGCAGTGCTTCAGCTGCAAAAGGTCCAAACGCATGAGTAAAGAACGAGGCAGATTTTTTCTCAGCCACGCTGTTCCATGCCTTCTTCTACAGCCAGCAAACGAGTGCCTTCCTGCTTGCCACGCCGAGCTGTTCTTATTTTGGAGCACAACACGAAGCATGTTGCATTAGCACCTTTTCCTCCATCGCTCCAGCATATGCCTCGAGCTGACTTGGTTTCTGTCTGGTAGAGCTGGAGCTGAATTCCTTCCAGCTCTGCCTCTTAATGCATTTTCTGCAAAATCTGGGATTTTGTACCACTGATTTCCATTAAACTGAATGTTTTGTTCCGTTAACAGCTGATTTAACCCAAACGGATGATATATCCCTAACGAGGAACGAAAGTGTGCTGGAGCACAAGTGGAAATTCCCAGTCAGTCCAATTAGTGCTGAGCTGTTGTGGTGTGGGGGAGTGTGAAGGGAACAGGCTGCTCCTGCATCCAGCTGCTTCTACCTGTTGGTGCTGTCATCAGGAGGACTCAGATGTCAGCATCTCAGGGTGTGCTGGTACCAACAAGGGGCCCAAACCGGGGGCAGGCTGAGAGCTGGTGGAAAGAACCCTTGTGAATGGTCACCACAACACCTGCCCGTAGAGAGGGAGGATACATACATATATGCACACAGAGAGGGGTTAAGGCACGCTGCATCTCACTCAGGAGAGCTGCTGGAAAGGACAGGTGAGCACAGAGCTCAAGGGTGAGCACAGAGCTTGGAGACTGAGCTGCTCTCAACTCCCCACCACAGGACACCTTACCTGCTGCAAAAATGCCTATTTCACGCTTTACCTCAATTGGCTTGTGACCTACCTATTGGCTTCTGGAGAGCTCCATTCGCCTTCACCTTAGGAAACTCTTTAGGTCAAACAACAATTTACCACGTTGTTTTCTTTCTTCGGTCCCTGAAGCTTCTTTTATTCCTTTTTCATGTGCCACAGAAGACGGCATCTCTTCCCAGCACTCGTTTATACACCCTGCAGGCTTTCCACGGGGAGCCCAAAATACAATTTATTTCATTTTAAAATACTTCTGCCTGCAGTGTATAAAATACTTTACAACACAATATTCTCTTTTCCCCTCGTGAAGGGCAGGTTTCGGGTGGGCAGCTCTGCAGCAGCCAGCCACCCTTTGGCACCTCAGGAGCTGCTCCGGTGCGCAGAGGAGCTCGTGTGCCCCGGGCAGCCGTGCAGAGGGGAGGGCAGAGGGAGCAGCCCTGCCGCGGGTCCTCCCCGGCCGCCGCTGTTTGCCTTTCCTCCGAAAACAAACCGGGGAAGTGGCGGCTCAAGGGCTGATAAGAATAATGAGACGTGTCCGTGGCAGATGGACCCGCGGGGCTGCAGCGGGATGTGCCCGAAGGAGAGCGGGACAAAGGGGCTCGCTGTGCTCAGCTCCCGGCAGGAGGGTGCGGGTGCGGCCGGGCTCTGCTCCCGCGGAACGAGGGCAGGACAGGGGAAAACAAACCCGGGGGACCCTGAGGCTGAGCAGGAAAATGTCTTCACCCCAAGGGTTGTGCAGCCTGGCACAGCTGCCACGGCAACGGTGGAGTCCCGTCCTGGAGGGGTTTAAAAGCCCTGTGGACGTGGCACTGGAGAACTGAGTAAATGGTGACATTGGCAGTGTGGGGGACTCGGTGGTCCTGGAGACCACCTGCCATTCCGTGATTCTGTGATGAGCTCTGGGGTGTTTCTGTCTGTCTGTCCTTGCAGAGCAGCAGCTGCTGTCCCTGGGGACTCACCCCACGGTTCAGGGGGTGACAGGATCGTGCTGTGCTCCAGCCCT